GACCCTGCTGGGGACTGTGCACTGCTGGCGCAGTCGGGGCTGTGTGACACCACTGGGGCCATCACCTGGATCCCAGCCTTCCTGCTGGGGTGGCACAGGACTCCTGGATCCCAGCCTTCCTGCTGGGGTGGCACAGGGCATCTGTGCTTTTCCCCAGAATGTTTTGTCTCTGGGGTTAGGAAGGGCTTTCAGTTTTGGTGCATTGATCCCAAGAGAGGGAGGTGAGCGCTGCGTCCTGGGCCGTGCGGGGCTGAGGGCTAAGCCTGGCACCCTCCTGGCCACAGTCAGGCCAAGGGGGCAAAACGTGAGGTGACCCCGGATAAGGGCAGGCAGGTGCTGGAGGTTGTGCATGGGTGGAAGGGGAAGATGATGTTTGGGGAGCTAACTGTCTTCTTCCCTCCCATTTCAGATTATTTCTCCGCATATCTTGGAGAATACAGACATGTGCTTTCTTCCCTGGAAGCCCTCAACTCTGCTGTCCTGGCTGCCATGGACAAAACCAAGCTGGTAAGACTGGGGTCATAGGAGGCTTCTGCAGTGCGGTGCTGGGGTGACAGGGCAGATAGGTTGGTAACAGAAGTCACAGTGATTTAGGCTTCTACCTTAGCATTAGACCCTGTGGAATATGTCCCATCTGTGTTCATAGAAGGCCGTGGGCAGCAAAGGTGGTGTCTTCCCAGTGTGTCAGGTTACCTCTGTGTGCCTTGGAGGTCCTGACGTGCAGCAGGTGCTGGAGGAGGGAAGGATCCTGATGCTCAGGACACATTGGTGGGCTCTGCTTCCCAGCATGGTTCCAGTAGGGGTTGTCCTTTAGCTCCTCTCAGCCTGCCCTGAAACGCCCTTTCTGGGAGCATCGCTCTTTCTCCTACTGTGCAGCAGAAAACTGTTCCCGTGGGCTTCAGGACAGTCTTGGAGGTGGCCTTGGGAATGGGCTGCAGTCCCAGGCTCGGGACAGGATCAGCAGGTATCAGCCCAGGGTAAGTGAAAGGTTGCTGCCCAATGGTAGCTGGGCAAGGTCCCAGGAGCTGAGAAACGGGAGGAGCTGCTCTCCTCTGGCCCCATGTAGGAGCCTAGGCTCTCACTGCTCTGCGCTAGCACTGGACTGTAGAAATGTCTAATTCCTCCCAATTATGAGACTTTCAGCCTGGGAACATATGATACTGACACAGCTCCCCCTTTCAAGGTCCTCATGTTCTCAGAACACAACTACCTGCTCCGCTTTGGGGCTGCTGCCTGTCAGGGCCCACCTGAGGCACAGGGAGCTATTACCAGTGTTTGGGATTTTGGGATGCTCCCACAAGAGTGACACAGTCTAGAGGAGGAGATGTTGACAGCACAGCCACGACTGGTGTGAGGCTGATGCTTGTGGTGGTCGTTGCTCTCTGGCCCCTTTACCCTGGTGGTACCAATCACCAGAGACTGAGCGGAATGAGGACTTGCCCAGGTAACTATGGTCAAGGTTGAACACTTGTCTCCTCTGCAAAGATGAGATCCCAAACTCACAAGATTGCCCAAATCCAGTGAAATGGGGCTGAAATGGGTCCTACCACCCAACCATGGTGGGACTACGCATCTGGAAGAGTCAGTGTTATGGCCAATGTTTGCAAGCCAGGTGGTTGCAAAGCTTGCAGAGCTTTTTCTTCCTCTTTGTGGTAAATTCTCTCCTCTTTTCGCCCAAGTCTCTGTATGCTCTTCGTCCTCAGAAGCACTCCTGTAGCGCCTGCTGGGCTCTCTGTGCTCCCCTGGGAACCTGGGAGCCCTGCAAGCCGAACACCAGCAACCTACTGGGTGCAATGGCAGTCAGGAAGGGGCAGCTGCTGGAGAAGGGAGTAGTGCAGATGGCAGCCACAGATATCGGTGCTACATTGCCAAGCCACGGCAAGGTCTTGCCTCAAGCACGTGTGAAGTGAAGCAGGGACCTTGGGTTGAGTTGGTGCCAGACTTACCCTAGACAACTGAAGCTCAGCCTAGCCCATGCTCATGGTTGGGAATCACCATGAGCAATCCCATGGTTGGGAATAACCATGCTGGGGGTTGATGCTGTGTGACAGCTGTGGGAAGGGCTGGCCCTTGCCTTCACTTCAGATTTCCCTGTTAGGTGCATCCTGTGAAGTGTGTGACTTGTGCTCATGGAAATGGATAAAAAAATAGGATTTTGCACCAGCAGCTGAGGCTGCAGGGCTCTTGTGGCTCAAGTGAGCTGCGAGTGTATCCGAGAGGCTCCTTTCTGCTCGGCTGCGAGGAGGGACCGGGCCCAGGCACCCTTTGGGATGCTCTAATCCTTTCTCTGATTAGGCAGAGAGTTAATGGTGCCGTCACAGTGGTGGTTATACAATGTCAGGTGTGGATTAACTACGTCGTAACTGAGACCTCCAGGTGTGGGCTATGTGTGCTGCCAGTGCTCCTCAGGTGTGGGACAGAAGCCATCATGGTCAGTATAAAGGTGACACCCTCATGGATTGGGGATGGATGTGGATAAGTCCTGGTGGATTGACAGAGATACCTGTGTTCCAAATGGTAGTGTTTGAGAAGCAAAGCTGTCCCCAGCTGGGGGACTGTGGCTCTGCAGACCGTCTGGGGCTGTCCTGCTACCCACTGCTGCAGCAAAGCTGCCAAGAACTTACCAGGAGGATACTTGGGCTAAACTTCTCCACATCAGATACCTGCTAAGGGCTGACTCCTCTGGGGTGTTTTGGCAAGGATGAGTCAGGCATTACAGAGAAGGCAGACAGGGAAAAACTATTCGATAACTTATTGGTACAGCAGAGAAGAGAGGGGCAGGAGGTGCAGGCAAATCATCTTCAGAGAGGTATGCTTGCTTTCACTTCATTTTTTTATAATAATTTTATTATGTGTTCATGTCTTTCTCCAAGGGATAATACAATTACTGCCTGCTTTGCAGTATTAGCATAATGTATTCATTCAACTAATAGTTTCTGGAGTAAACATCCCGATGAGCTTTACGACACACACTGCTCTGGGGACCATGTAGTCTGCACCTTGACCCACTCATTTTCTTAAATGAACTTCTCATTTTTCCTTAGCTCCGTCTGCCCCTCTGTTTGAGCTCGAGCACTTGCTGTCTCTGGGCTCTTGCTGCTCACCGAATCTCCTTCCAGGGATGGTGACAGACTCGGCATGAGCAGACAAGAGGCTCCCCAGGTTCAAGTGCTGGGTTGCAACCAAATTCTCTTTGTGCCATTTCTGTGGGCTGTGGTGTTTTTTCTTGGCTGGCATTTGCAGGGGGCAGGATACATAGCAGAGAGCATGGTCGGGATTTTTGTTGCTTTCTGTTGGAAGGTCAAGCCCTGGAACCCAGAGCCTAGCAAATGGAGCTAGGACTTCCGATGTCACAAATTTTCCCTGGAAAAGGGAAACAGGCTTTCTCTGTTGTAGCCAATTTTTGCGGGCTTGCTTTTCCACCTGTTTAGGTCTGGTCAGGGCTACAAAGAGAGAGAATGGGATGATTTGTGGGAGACAGTGTTCTGGGACCTCGACAGAGCTGCGCTCACAGCATTGCTCCCGTGCTGGCGATATCAGCCCCATGGCAGACGTGGCCTGGCCAGGAGCTCAGGATTATCCTGCCTTGCACAGTGACCCTTCCTGGAAACTAAAGTTTTGTTGAGAATATTGTACATGTAGGCAGTAAATTTGTTCATGACTTCTCTTGCAAATCCAAAGGTTGGAAAAACAAATCATTAGGTGTTCCTGTGTTCACTTCCTTCCTCTGCATTGGTAGAAACACTGTAATAGAAAGAGCCTTTTCAGGAGGGGAGATCTCCTCTTCCCCTGCCTTCAAATTCTCTCACTTCCATTGGTGTTTGTAAATATTACCATTGATACCTATGCCACAATATACTAAATGTATCTTATTCCATCACTGAACTTGGCATTTGCAATGATCAGGGCAGGCAGTGATCTGTGGAAATATCTTGGGAAAACAGTTGGATATTTCTTTCAGGGAAACTGTATGCTAAAATATTCCTGTTCCTGCCAGCTAACTGTTTCTGCATTGGCAGGAAGGATGTGGCCACCTATCTCATTCCATGTCTGAAGTTTAACTACTGTCATAAGAAACCATTAAAACTTCCCAAAAACATATTTGCAACAAGCCTTGGCATAAACAGAAAATAGCTTGGCAGAGGCCACAAATGTCTTTGTGCAGAATGAGGCACTGCAGGAGCGGTTCTGCTGGGAACAAGGTGGGCTTCTCTTCCTGCCCATTGCCACCCGTCAGGAATCTCTGAGCCTGGAGCAGACGCTTGAGACCTGGATATTGGTCAGTGGAGCTGGAAATACCTGTCCACAGCAAACCAACTCTCTCTCCTTTTTGCTATTTCCTCCCTTCAAAGAATCTCTTCTTTAGACAAAGTGCTGTATACTGTCCGTTCAGCCAAACATTTTTATTGAGATTCTGTTTTCAGATAGGTTTGAATGCCTCACTGCAGTACCTGATAAGAGGGTTTGCTGTTTCTCCCCAGGTGAGCTCTGCCAAAGGGGTCATCTGGCAACTGAGCCACAGTGAAAGTAGATTTTCAGTGGGATAAGTGGCCACATACTTCCTGCCGCTGGGGAAGTGGGAGCATTTAATTTGGAAATGTATTTATAAGTTAGTTTGCAGGAACAGGAAGATTTTAGCATACCATTTTCCTGTAAGAAATACCTGTTTTCCCAGTGGAGTCTACATTTTCAATGGACTCCCTCCCCGGCATCTCATTTTCCCACTGGTACAAATGGGTGGACTAGCGTTTGGTGTCCGAAAAATGTTTCCTCGGACCCCAAGCACAAGCTGTGTCAAGGGAAGAGAAATTTTCAAACTGGGGGTTGAGGATGAGGTGGTGAGGAAGCATTACCTGGCTGCATCCCGGAGGGAGCCCAGTTCTGAACTTGATGGGCCCTGGGGTTGGGAGCTCTGGTGCTTTCTGCTGGACTTTCATGATGCCTTCCTGAGAAGCGCTCATTTTCACGGTTCCCTCTCGTAATAGCACTCCTGCATGTCCTGTGTTTGGTCAGGAGAGAGTTGGGAAGGAGCTAGCTTATCGTACATGGTCTGTGTTTGGGTTGGGTCCTCAACCCATGGCATTGGTTGGCACTTTGCCCTTGAAGAGCAGTGGATGAAGGGGATGCACTGACAGTTGTTTGAGTGAGCGTTGCTCTGTGAGGAGGACCGTATCTGAACCTCCAAAAAGGTCTAGTTTGGAGCCTGACCCCTCTCTTAGGATTGCATATTGCTGAAGGTGCTCTTATAGTGGCAGCCCAAGGGTGTCACAGCATTATGCAATACATAGGGGCAGCCCCAGACATGGGCAGATGATGCTCCTCAGGCCTGCCTAAACAGTGGGTTGGACCGTGGGCAGAGCAGGACAGGGTGCTCGTCCCCCTGAGCCCAGCGACCCAGAGCTACAGGGATGGGAAGGCTGCCTGAGAGACAAAGCTTATGTGCCCCTGGCAGCAGTGAAATGATGTCTGTGGGGGCAGCTGCCCCTTCGCCTGCCCCTGAGATAAAACCTAACCTTCTGCTGAAACCTATATTCAGATAAATTGCTTTGGTGCAGCACAAGGCTGATGCAGAAAGGATCATTATTAGGTCTTCCCTTAGAAGATCCGTGAGGTTTGGGCTTCAGCTCGCATACTGTTTTAGCAAGAGATGGCTGCAGCAGGCTGTGCGCTGGTCTTGAAGCAGCCACAGCTTGGCCTCCTCAAGGTCACCTGAACGTTGCTCAGAGCTCAGCAATTAAGGCTGCTTTGGAATGAGAAGGACTGGGAAGTGCTGTGAGGCTGGCTGGTGGCTGCAGCTGCTCCCAGCACTCATCCTTTGAACAGGACCAACTTGGTCAGGGAGGAGCACGGAGCCTCAGCGCGAGGGGAAATATCAATAGGCTGAGGCAGTGGGGGCCAGCCCTGCAGGAGGCTCGCCAGGCAGTGACAGGGGCCAGAATAACATCTCATTAAGCAAGTCAGTATTGCTGCAAAGGCAGCTTGGTGCAGGAAGCACTCTCAGTGAAGAGAGAGAGGTGAAGACATTTGAATTCTGGACCGTTTCCAACTGAGGAACAAAATGGGTTGTGCTGGTAGGGATTTCAGTGCACACTATACAGAGCCTGGGTTATGTAGCAGAGCATTGAAGGCAGAAGAGTGCCAAGTATCTGACCCAGACAGATGGATTTTGGCATTTGAGTGGTGCCCCAGTGTGTTTTGTCAGAGTCTGCAGTTGTGCAAAGGCAGATGATAACGTTTGCAGGGTATTTCAGAAGTTGCCCAATCATATTGGAGAGACGAGAAGGCAGCAGATAGGTTTAAAACAGATATTGGCACAGTTCCTTGAGTTTGGATCTTACCATAGATCCATGATCAGCAAAATCAGACAAAGACATGCTAGGACAACTCTCAGTGCAGCTGACATCAGGTGTTCTCCTCAATTTATCTTAAGAGTAGCCCACACAACTGTCCCACCATCTCATAGACTGCAGTGTGTCTCAGAGGCACAGTGTTAGTGTTCCCTGACAGTTCACCTAAAAATCAACCGTGTCCTGATGGGGAGCCGGCAGACATCCGAGGAAGAACTTCTTTCCTGTGAGGGTGCCAGAGCCCTGGCACAGGCTGCCCAGGGAGGCTGTGGAGTCTCCTTCTCTGGAGGTCTTCAAAACCCATCTGGATGTGACCCTGTGCCATGTGCTCTGGGTGTCCCTGCTTGAGCAGGGGGTTGGACTAGATGATCTCTGGAGGTCACTTCCACTTCCATTCCATCCACCTCTCCATCCACTCCACTCCACATCCATTCCACTTCCATTGCTTCTGTTGTGCGATTGTGCGATTGTGTGACATCCCACCACTAACGGTGTTTCCTCACAACCAAATTACTGCCCCGTGGCTTGAGAAGCCTCAGGCTGCTGCAGCCTTCTGCTGCCGCTCAGTCACTGACTGAGGTGGTGGCCAGATCAGACCCCACTTAGACCTGCTGCAGCCACTGGCAATCACTTTATTTCAGTGCATCCCTGGAGGACAGTGTCACAGAGCCAAGAAGAAAGCCAGAGGGAGGCATGAGAGTAGAGGACTCGGGAGGCGGAAGAGCAAACACGTGTTTGTAGGGATAAGTGGAGCAGAAGGGAAGCTGTTGCAGCCCGTGTGGGCAAGCATGGCCATGTAGCTGTTACCCACCTCTGTATCTCTGTCGCTAGTTAGTCGCTGTCTGCGTCTGCGGGTGCCATGGACTCTCTTGGCCTGGGCTGTGCCAAGACTGGGTTTTCTGGTCAGCCCCGTCATGGACATTGCACTTGCATCTCCCCACATCTGAAGGGACCTAGTGGCTGGGAGAGTGCAGCGTACCGACCAGCCCCACCAGGTCCTGGGGCATCAGGCAGTGCCTTTGTGGAGCTCTGTTCTGACTGGGGAAGGTGCCTGCAGGTGTGGTGGGAGGAACAGCATGGGAAGACTCCACATGTCCTGCAGCTTGGAAGCCCCGTGAGTATCAGGAACCAAAGGTCTTTAGCACATGCAGGCCTGGGGGGGGGTTGAGGTAGGAGATGATATGTTCAGTACTGGCAGTTATAGCCAGGTGTAGGTCAGCTGGTCTAGCCATAGGAGGCAACGTAACGGTGGTGTAAACTTCCAGGACAGCGTCCTGCAGTGTGGAGAGCGTCGAGCTGGCTGCTCATGTACCTCCCCATGAAGCACATGGACCTTAGCCCAGCAAACACGTTATTTATTACCTGTGTGGGCACGGTGTCCTCCTCAGAGGCAGAGGGCTGCGGGGAGGCTGAGGGGCAGGTCTCCATGTTACGTGTGCTCTCATTGCAAGGGCAGAACCAGCAGACATGGCTTGTGGTCTGGTTTCCACAGCACTGGTGCAGCAGAGATTGGAGTTTCAATGATGAAATGCCCACCCTGTGCTGGGAATCCCTGCCTCCCTTGCCCAGAGCTGTCCCCTGTCCCTTGGGGACATCTGACAGTGCTTCTCCCCTTCCCTGCAGCAGTACGAGAACTCCTCCAAGATGGAGCAGTTCCTGACCCGCTTCCTGCTGCGAGAAACCGTGTCCCAGCTGCAGTCATTGCAGACCTCCCTCGAGTGTGCCGTGGACATCATGGAGGAGCAGGCAGGACGGGAGAGGTAACGTGTGCAGGGTGGGACACACAGTGGGACAAGCCCAGCAGTGCATTGTCTCCCATCCAACAACTTCCTCCGACTCCCCTTTGAGTCTTATTCTTTCAGGAAGGACGTAAAGAAATCAGAGACCTTGACTGGCCTGCGGTCAGGAAGACGATATGGGCGCAGAGGGCAGAAGAACATCTGCTTGTCCTCTGTGGACCCCTATTCCGGCATGCTGACAACAGGTACCTGCGGGCAGGGGAGGAGCCATCCTCATAGCCCTGCCACCCCTCAGGTCTGTGCCCGGGCTCTGTGTTTCTGTACCTACCCCGTGGCACAGCACAGCGGAATGTTGTCCAGGACAGAGTGTGGATGGTCCCACACAGGAGCTGCGTGGAACTTCTTTAGGATTTTGTATCTCTTGGGCACTGGGGAGAAATTATAGGATGAGACAATCAGGTTTTTGGTTTAAATCAGCAGTTTAGAAGCTTTTGCCATTTTCTCAGGCATTTTCAATCAAATTAATTAAGCACCACCCCTGGCAATAAAAGGATAGTGGGATTTCCTCCCCAGCTACAGGGTGCACAACATGGCGAGGCGTGTCTGTGTGGAAGTGTGGACTGGGTGAGTGAACAGTGAGATGGATTGAGAACTGGCTGGATGGCAGAGCTCAGGGTGGTGATAAATGGGGCCGAGTCCAGCTGGAGGCCTGTGGCCAGTGGTGTCCCCCAGGGGTCAGTGCTGGGCCCGGTGCTGTTCAACTTGTCCATCAATGACCTGGACGAGGGCACGGAGTGCACCCTGAGCAAGTTTGTGGATGATCCCAAGCTGTGTGGAATGACTAGGACTCCAGAGGGCTGTGTTGCCATCCAGAGGGGACCTGGACAGGCTGGAGAGTTGGGCAGAGAGGAACGTCATGACGTTCAACAAGGACAAGGGCAGGATCCTGCACCTGGGCAAGAATAACCCCAGGCAGCAGTACAGATTAGGAGTTGGCCTGCTGGAGAGCAGCTCTGTGGAGACGGATTTGGGAGTGCTGGTTGACACCAAATTAACCATGAGGCAGCAGTGTGTCCTTGTGGCCAAGAAGGCCAATGGGATCCTGGCTGCATCAGGAGGAGTGTTGCCAGCAGGTCAAGGGAGGTGATTCTGCCCCTCTCCTCAGCTCTGGTGAGGCCGCTCCTGGAGTATTGGGTGCAGTCCCGGGCTCCCCAGTATAAGAGGGATGTGGAGCTTCTTGAGAGGGAAAGCAACCAATATGATTAAGGGACTGGAGCGTCTATCGTGTGAGAGAAGATGCAGTGAGTTGGGCCTGTTTAGCCTGGAGAAGAGAAGGCTGAGAGGGGATCTGATTAATAGGTACAAATACCTGAAGGGTGAACATAGGGAGGAAGGGACCAAACTGATCTCAGCGGTGGCCAGTGATAGGACAAGGAGCAGTGGGTATAAAGTGAAACACAGGAAGGATGAACTTCTTTGCTGTGAGGGTGACAGAGCCCAGGGAGGTTGTGGAGTCTCCTTCTCTGGAGATCTGCAAAACCTGTCTGGATGTGGCCCTGTGCCATGGGCTGTAGTTATCCCAGCTGGAGCAGGGGGATTGGACCAGGCTCTAGGGGTCCCTTCCGACCTCCAGCCTTCTGTGGTTCTGTGATTCTGTGTCTTGCCTAGTTGTTTTTCTTGGGTCTCCCCTAGAAGACTGCAGGAGCTCCAAGGACCTGCAGACCAGAGGTGGCACCTTGCTGTCCTGGGGTAACAGTGCCAGTCTCAGGATCCCTTAGAGGAACTGTCTCTTACCACCTGTTTGGAGATTCCTGGCTCTGTTGGACATTTAGCTGGGCATACATGTCCTCATAGATCTGCCACAAGCCGCTCTGACCATCCTGACTTTCTTGTATGGGAACAAAGAGTGCCTGAATCCCTTACATGCAAAACCACACGGCACTTCTGCCAGGCTTTGCTCTTGCTGCTGTCAGTAGTGTGGAGCACCAAACTGAGTAGCATTGATGGGGCCAGGATGCCGCTGCCTGGGTGGTGACATCTCTCTGTCCTTCCTGCTTAGGCATTTGTGTTGAAGACAACAACGAGTGGATGGCACAGATTAACCGGCTCCAACAGCTTATTGAGAAACTGGAGTGCAAGGTGTGTGACAGAGGGAGGTGGCAGGAGGGGCTGCCCCTCACCTTGCTGTGATCAGATCCACGTCCTGCTGTTTCAGTCCTGACGTCGGCCCTTATAGAGCTGCAGTCCAGCAATGCTGACTTGCAATGTGTCTCATCCCTTGCCATTAATGCCCGGGACCTGCTGTTCCTCTCTCAGCTCTGAAGGCTTCCCCCTGTTTCTCCTGTAAGTCCAGATCCAACAAAGCAATCTGGCTGCACAGATATGGGTCACATCCTGCCCTGGCTACCAGAGCCAAGCTCTCTGGAGCAGTGCACCAAGCTAGGCTAGGTTTGATCATCTCTGTGTTTTGTGTTGTGATAAAACTGTTGTGGTGACAATGATTTTTCTGCTAATGTGAAATGCAGAGCCCACGCCTGGAGCCTCTGAAGGAGGAAGCAGTGAGCAAGGACAGAGATGATGTAAGTCCTGCCCCTGAGCCTGCTGATGCAGACTACACGGTAGTGCTCAAAGGTCCCCTTGCGCACACATGCCCTGGGGCTGGGGCCACGTGACAGAGCTTCTGGCTTTGGTCTGGGAATGGATTCACTGCCCTAGCACTGGCTGGGATGAGGATTGAGCTGAGCTGTGAACTGAGAGGAATGTGGTACCCTCTCCTAAACAGGATCCCGAGGTCTGTACCTCCTCAGGCAGTACCTATGGCCAGGAGCACCTTGGGATGAGCTTCTGCGTGCGAGTCCCCCAGTGTCCCAGGTTTGCTCCAAGCCCCCTTAGGCCATGCCAAATCCCAGAAGAAAAGTCCCAAGGCCCAAACCCCACATGCGCCTTTCAGCTGGGAATGTTCCTGCCGCGCTGCATTTGCTTGGCACGGGATGGGAGGCAGGAGAGCCAGGGCAGCCCTGGTGTGTGTGCAGGGGGCTGTGCCTGACCCTCTGTACCGCTGTGGCTGCTCCTCCCTTGCAGCACCTCCTCGTGGCCAAGAGGCAGATCTCGGTGGTGAAGAGTGGCATTGAGGAGTTTCGCCAGGCGTTCAGGTCCTACGTGGAGGTCACCGCTGCGCAGAGCAGCTGCCTACAGTAAGTGCTGTGGGCAGCAGGGCTGTCGGTGGCACGGCCAAACAGGGAACCTGCGTTTTGCTGAGTAGGCAGCGTTCCTGCTTTGGGATGTAGTCATAACTCTTAGCACAGATGTCTGCATGACATGGGTCCTGAGCTTGCAGTGATGCACAGGTCTGGGAGGGAAGGCTGCTGACGATGGTTCTCCATGGCATGACCTGGGATGAGTACGCAGGATGGCCCCTCAGGTTACCGGTGGGCCATTGGCACCAGCTCGGATTCAGCATGCCGAGGCTGGATTTGGAGCAGTGTCACAGCCGGGCTGTGCTGCTCAGCTGCGCAGGACCCTCCTGCCTCCTGCTGCAGCTTCCCCAGTAAGAGGAACCACTTGTTAGTGCCTGGCAAGGAGGGGAAGGAGGTTTCAGTGCCAACCACAGCTGCCACGAACGGATGTGGCATGTGTGTGTAAGCAGGTGTGCTCCTCGCTCTGGCTTTGAAGGCCTGAAGAGGAAGGGGGAGGGCTCATGTCACGGTTTCCCCTTCACTAAAATGTGTGCAGGGCTGCTCAGATGTATCAAGGGCCACTAAAAACTAACCTGCAGTGTAAGACCAGGGCTCTGGCTGCAGCACCAATCCAGAGTTCACAGCAAACTGCTGAGGATGGAGCCGCAGACTTGACTTGAGTGTCATGCCACAGCCAGAGTATCCTGGCAGCTGCACAGCTGCCCCTTAAGAAGCTCCTTCTTTCTCCCACGGGAGGTTTCAAGGGGAAAATTCTTGTTTTAATGCATGATTTTTTTTTTCACTTTGACACTGCAGGGAGTCTTTCTCAGGAGAACTAGCTGTTTTGACAGCCAGGTGATTTTGCATGAGCCGGCTTTCCACGTGAGCCCGAGTGAAGCCCAGGGAGGTGCTGCTGTCCTGCTTCATGGCAGGAATTTTAAAGCCTTTTGTGGCCCCCATATATGGGGCCACGGTCTCATTGCTGCTGGCTTGGCCATGACTTGCTTTGCTTTTTCTTTCTGGACTTGGCTCCTCCACACTGCACCAGGCTCTGAGCAGCAGCTAGGGGAAGGTCCTCACCGTTTGGAATAACCAGCACTGCAGCTTCATGCAGCTGCTCCTGCTTGCTTGCCACCACACCGTTTGCCCCTTTGCCATGCTGTGGGATGGAGAAACCTCAGCCCTATTGCAGGTGCTCCAGCAGGAGGGAAGATGGGAAGTGTGATTTGGGAATGGACATCTACTTCAGGGGCTGTTAGGGGCATCTTCGTGGTTCCCTGGAACAGTGTGCCATCCTTAGCAGCTGTTGTTGGTGCTGCTACCCTTCAAAATCCTCCTTCTGAGGAGGACCTCAGGTAGCACAATGCCCATCCTTCCTGAGGGTGCAGAGCCTGGCGCTGCTGTGCTGGGCACCCCTTTCACCCCCGCTCACCAGGCCCTGTCTCAGGACTTTTCCTGTCCCCACAGTGTGTCCACCTGCAAGCTGACCAATGAAGCCTGCTTCATCCTCTACGAGTTCTGGCAGGATGTGTCTTCATGGAGAAGGTGGGAGACTTTCATTGTGTGTTTGCTGGGGGCTTGGGTCTAGATGATCCCAGACAGTCTGGGTCAGGGAGGCTAAAAGGCTTTGTGGCCTCCTCCTTAGAGTCTGTCCAGCGCTCCCATCTCAGGGATCATCAGCGCACCTTGTCTCAGTGCCCCTGCTGATGCTGGCAGAAGAGGCAGCTGAAGGCCCTGGATTTGGGCCGTGGAGCAGAAGCAGATGCACTGCGTCGGGCAGTGCAGATGCAAATCATTCCCGCGTGCATGGGAAGGGACCCCTGCATGGGCCTCCTCTCCTGCAGCCCTCCCTGGGCTGGAGTGAAAGCTCCCGGCACCATTCTCACCCTGCACAATCCTTTGCAGCCACTTGCAGTCCAGCCACAGCAAGACCTTCCAACGGTCCGTCATAAGCTTGCTGGAGGCGCCAGAGCTGCTCACCACCATGCTCTTCCCAGGTGAGCAGGGCTGTGCGGGCCGGTGTGGCAGCGATGTGGGGGTCTCGGCTGGTGGCCCTGCTGGCCCAGCTGGAGTGGCTGTGTCCAGGCTTTGTTGTAAGGCTCAGAGGTGCAGAGACCAGATTCCCGGGATGGACCTGTACCTGGGAAGCTGGCAGAACTTTGAACAATCAGTGAGCAACTGGGAAAGGGTGGCAAGACCCAACTAAGCCTCAGGCTGCTCCCCTTTGGATCTTGCCCAAAATAAGTAAAATGTTGATTAATTTGGAAATTATCCCATGCCTGTGGCCTTCTCCTTGGCCAGCTGGTCCTGCTGACTCTGTTCCCTATGCTCTTTGGAGGGATCTGCAGCCTGCAGCTGCTGTGGGACAGGTGTCTCTGGTGGTGACAGTGTGGGGAGCCAGGCCGTGCTGCGAAGCTGGGTCCCTGGCATGCAGGACCATGCAGGGAGCCCGTGCCTGGAACTCTCGGCTCTCCGTGAGCAGGAGAGCAGGAGACAGAGCCCATGGCTCTCTGTCCCCCCTGCCATGACAACGGCAACGTCGCTGCTATGCCTTCCCTGACCCTTTCCCTGCTTCTCTCTGCAGCTTCCTGGTGGATCATGAACAACAATTAGGGGGCTTCGGGAAGTGGTCAGCACGTGCAAGGAGCCGGCGCCCTCGTCACGGCCGCCTCTTGCAGCGCGGTGCCCACCTCCATGCGCCCCGCTACCGGCTCGCCCTGTCCCTGTCCCCCTCATTCCCCAGGGGATTTAGTTGCCTCCTCACCACCACCACAGCTGTCCTTCAGGCAGACGGGGCGAGGGGCCGTCCTGCACCACCCCCTGCCCTGCACTGCCCCCCGCTTCTGTCCCTGAGGTGTGTGGCCCCAATAAAGTGCTCCGTGACTTTGATGCCCTTTGGTGCCATTGGTGGCAGGACTGTGCCAGAGCAGCTCTGTACCCAGGCATGGGGAGCAACGTGTGAGGAGGCCAGAAACCCCTTTGCAGAGCTGAAGAACCTCCTGCACCCTCTCTGTGCCCACACAGCGTGTCACTGGAGGGTGGCAGAGGCAGGACACAGCACATCTGTTCCTCCCGGCATGGAAAAACCCCACATTCCCATGGCCCTAACCAGCTGTTTGGCATCCGCCCATCCACCTACCCTTGGCATCATCCTCGTGATGTCCATGCTCAGCTAAAGCACAGGGTGGCCCGGCAAGGCTGGCACTGGCTGCCTGCCCTGCCCAGCCCACGAGTGTCATGCCACCATCTCCAACAACACCAGCAGCCCCACAGGCAAAAGGGGCAGGGGGAGATGCTCTCCACGTAGGGCAGTGCCAAGCATGTCCCCGGCCACGGTGGGGGTGTGGGGGCCAACATTTGTTTGACCGGCTCTTCCCTGGTGCCCCATTTGCATTTATTAAAATGCAATTAGTCCTCAGCTGTGCAGCTTTAGCGTGTTAAAAACCCATCTGCACGGTGACGTGGGGCGAGCAGGAATGCGCCCCAGTTGCCCGTGTGGGCTGGCCAGGGGGAGCTGAGGGCAGCCCTAAGGGTCTCACCTTGCCTCGGGTGCGTGTCGCCTCCACAGCCAACACCCTCCCTCCGCCCCGGGCTGGGGTTTCGGGGAGTCCTGGGGACCCGTCCAGCCTCGCGGGACGCCGGGCTCCCTGCGGCTGCACAAAACGCTGCTCTGGAGGCGGCAAAGCGAAGGCCAAGCTGAACTGGAGACACTGGGAGGTGTCAGAGCATCGTCTGTCCACTTCGCCCTGTCTCCCAGCACCCGTTTCTTTACTCGTCACCCTGGGGACTCTCGGGTCCCCTCTCAAAGCTGCAGTTTGCTGGAGGCAGACGGCTGGGAAGGGCCCTGGGGTGTCCCTTGCTGGCATCTCTCCAGGTGACATGATTTTAGTGGGGTATTTTCAGGGGAAATCAGCACACGAGAGCGTGTTTTAGCCCCGACTGAGATCTCTTTTAAATGAGCGACTGTGCAGGCCCCACATGCCCTTCTGGTGACAGGGGACCTGTCCAGAGGCACCGCTCTGCTGCCCTAGGAAAGGGAAGGCAGTCACTGGTATGCTGAATATAGTCTTTTTATTGACTATTTTGAGTAGAACAAAACTAAATACATCTGTAACAGTTTGAGTTCCTTTATACAGTACATTTAATAAGTTATACATGGGAATGAAGTAGCAAAATTCCTATTACAGAATTAAATGCCAAAAAGGGAAAAAAATAGAAAACTTAATCCAACAAGTTTTCTCATAGCAGAATTTCACATTTATCATTCCATGTTAGGAAAATAAAAAAGAAAAAGCAATCATTCTAATAATGACTGTTAGTATTTCGTTCATTTACATTGGGGTTAATTTTTAATACACAAGTCGCATGAAAATTATGGAAGACAATCTATTTACAACCAATTCTTTTCAGCACGCTTGCACTCTTTGCCTTCGAATAGCACACGCTGCTCCCGGGCATTATAGTAGGACTGTAGTTAATCCTGAGGATGCTGCAACCAGATCTTTTCTACCTGGGGCAACCAAGAACGTGACCATGTCCCACAGGCGCAGGACAGCCACCCAACCACGAGTTCTGGGGTGACCAGCCCTGCTGAGGGCCACAGCACCCCTTGCCCCTCTCTGCATCTCTGCAGCCCTCCTCAATGCTGGAGCCTTGCAAGTCACACTGAGAGGGTTTTGAAGTTTTGCAGTGGGTATGGAAAAACAGACTATTTCCAGGTCATTTCCCACTGCTTTTGAGCAAGGATGGCAGTGCCAGGGCTGCTGCACCTTGGGGCTGCCCTGCTCTCTTCTTGGGAAAACAGCTGTGGGGGAGCGACCTCTCCCACACACTGGGGCAACTTGGGCACGCCGCTTTTTCAGGTTCCAGGCTGTCCAGCCTCACTGATTGTCCGAACCCCGGCTCGCTCCTGCATGCCCAGGAGCGCAGAGGCCGGGGGGCTGCAGCGGGTCCTTGTGCCTGGCACCATTCTGCCACAGCACTGGTGCACGGCAAGAGGGAGACCATCCTACTTGCCACTCCAGAGCTTTCTTGAAAACCAGGAAACTTGGGGACTCCCTTTTTTTTGGGATGGGGAGGGGGGCAGGGCAGGGAAGAAAATTTGTAGGCATGGGAATTGCCCCCTTTATTCCATGGCTGCAGCTTCCCAAACACCTTTCCCTAAGGAACAAAGCTGGTTCATCAGGTAACCTATTTATCCCTGGGCGTATGGATGAGAGCCAGCAGATACCTTGGCAAATTCAGTAACTATTCATTACATCTCTCTTCCTCCCCTTGGAAAAAGTGATCAAAAATAATTTGGGAATTACTTGCCTCTTTGGGCCCCAACCCAGCAAGCACAGGGAAAAAGAGTTCTGGAAAGACAGCTTTGCTGAATAGATTGTTTTCTAGCTCCTGTTTGTGCATGGCATGTGGAATCAGTGTGAATCCTGGGAGGACTCGTTCTGATTCCTGCTATTAGCTGTGCCCGTAATGACCTGCAAAGGCAGCTGTAGAACTAGGTGTTCACACTAAGTCCAGCTCTGCTCCCTGCACGCTGCTGTGGATTGGCATCATTTGGCTGACTTCAGTTTTCCAGTTTTTTGGAGCTGAGTTTCAAATGCTGAGTGAGGTGGTACCGGCTGCTTTGCACTCCCCTGCCCAAACCATGCCGGGAGCACAAGCTAAACACCTTATCCTTCAGAGGAGCCCTCATAAACCCCTCAAGGACTGGGCACTTGGTAACCCACATAGGATACCAAGTTGGGAAATCTTTAATAGTTTGGTCAACATGCTTGGAGAGAGCAGATTAAAAATAATCCAGGGCAGCAGTGTGAAGATCTTGGTGGTTAAAAACAGTATGTCCGTGACTCTCAAACCAACTCGTTCTGTGCCATGAAAAAAAAAGGCATCCTACGTAGCAAAATGCTGGTGCCCAAATGGGGAGGACAATAACTGCCTGCAAAGAAATGGGATTCGGTCTGCTCATTCTCATTCACCAGTGAGAGCGAGGTCCTACCTGGATGTGTGTGATGGAAAGGTAGATAATGGGGAATTAGCTCAGAAAGCCCAGGAGAGAGGACTGTGAACACATTTCACCCTTGAGTACAAGGTCCCCTGCCCGGGCATTTCTTGCTTGGCCTCTCCTGCGTGTCCTGGGAGCACTTGCCATGAAGTCCAGGTCCCCTGGGCACAGACTGGCATCCTCCATGTCGCAGTGCTGCTCTCCGGCATGTCCCTTCCACGAGGACTGTATGGAGGCCCCTCAGGCAAGGCTGGCAAGAAGTCATCAAGAACCAGGAAAACAGAACGAGATGGAAAAGCCTGAGTGTCAGTGCTCTGGATTCGGCAGTGTCGATTTGTCAAACATGTCACATGATACGAGTTCCTGCTGGATTATTTCATCTTAAAAAAACATGAAAACCAATGTGAAACCGAACTTTATCCCCTTAGAGTCCATTTGTATCTATTGCTGTCACAGATGCTGGGGTAGAGGATCGGGAGGTCGTTGCCGAAGTCTTCTCCAGTACTGGGCTGGGGACCCCGTCGATGGCCTTGGTAGCTGCAGCCCGCCCCACGGGCAGCGCCAGGGGCTTGCTCTGCCCGTGCAGGCCTTGCCCACAGATGCGGTGGTGCCTCTCCCAGTCTTTGTGCTGGCAGAAAGAGCCGCAGTAGCGGGCGATGTTGCAGCCGCTGCACGTTTCGCTGGCCTTGCGACCGCAGTTCCAGCAGCTCTGAAAGACGGGAGACATGTTAAACTGTACTCCACCGACTGCAGGATGGTGTTTGCTCAGCAGCTGGGGAGAGGAGAGTTCCTCCCCTCTTTGGTCCCAAATCAGTCATATTAAAATGACCAAACCATAAATTCCCGCTCTTTCACAGCCTTTGCTCAAGGTTGCTCAGCTACGAGAGCGCAGGGCTTGCGGGGCTCCTCGTCCTTCTCCCTCACCTGACTCAGCAGCGTGGGCCTCCTGGTTCTGCAAGCGCAAGGAGCTTCTCCGGCATCCAAGCCGCAGCCTTTCCCCAGGGAAGAGGCTCCTGGAAGCACTCCAGCCTGCCAGTGCTGCCCCGGGAGCACCACCACCCGGCCACTTGCTCCTGGCAGGGAATCACTGGCACTCGGCAAGCAGCCAAAGCGAGCTGCTTGGGAGCAGAGCACTCCAGGACTGGCATGCACCAGAGCCGCCTCTGTCTGCCAGGAGCAGCAGGACAGGAAAACGACAGGAAAACAAGAAGTCCACAGAAGCTTTTGGAAAACTGGGTCACTGCTTTACAGATGTTTACACCTCTGTCTCAGCCAGTGGTTTTAAAGGGCATTTCCAAGACTGCAAAGCTATCAGGGCCAGGAGAGCTCTCAGAGCAGGTGTTAGGGAAGCTGGGCCTGCAGCAGGAGCCCATTCCCATGGGAGCAGCGCTGCCCTGAGCTGCCTAGCTCCTGCCAGTGATCTGGAGCTGCACGTGGGGACAGACAGGAGACAGGGGAACAAGATGCTCCACTGCTCTCTCCTACAGCGCAATTGATGCTTGTCTCGTTTCTTTCATGACTTTTGAAGCAGTTCCTCCCACTCCCATCACACGTTTACAAACCACTATGTTCCCCCTTTGGTGCTTTAATGGGGAAGTGAGGTCTAAACATACTTTTCTCTCAAAACACCTCATATTTACATTTTTTTTAAGCAGGAGAGCTAGGCACATCACACCATCGTACCATACACAGGATGCTGTGTTGGTCTTTCCAGAGCTCCTGCAGTGCTGAATCCAGGGCACCTAGACCAGCAGGGGCTGTGGAAACCTTGCATGGGAGGCAGATGGACCTGCTGCCCACGCACTCACGCAGCATCTTCACACTCATCTCCTCGTGGAGGAGAGATCAGCAGACTTTATGGGTCTTGGACATCAAAAAAACCTCAAGACCGTTTGGGGAGAGCAGCTGCCCACCTGTTACCTGGGGCAGCTCCCTAGGAGCCAGCTAAACTAGAGTCTCCAAGATGATATTTAGCGTGCTTATAGTTATTGCTTGGAAAGATTTTTAGAAGGAGGAAGGGATGTGGAACCTACAGGCTCAGCATGATGGGCAGGGCACATCTTCCAATTCTCTCCTTCGACGTTCCTCACTGCTCTCCCACCCCGTTGGCCATGGCCAGGACCTGGCTCCTTACCTCTGTGGACTCCTCCTGCTCATTTATGACTAAGAAAGCATCCTCAGTAGCTTGGCGCTTGGCGTCTGCAATGGTCTGCTCCATCCGCGCCCTCTCGGAGGCAATCATCTCAAATGCCTTCTGCTCAGCCTCTGCCACAGCCTTCTGCACTTCGGACATGGCCTGACGCTTCACCTCATTCACGGCTTCTTCTGGAAGGAAACAACGGCCTCACCAACCAGCCTTTGGAGCGCAGCAAACCTCAGGAAGCTCCTCGGACGGGCTGAGTTGCTGCACAGCTGTGCTCCAAACAGCTGGCTTTTAATGCCAGTTAGAACTAAAATCTAAAATCTAGTCCCAGGCCTTGGTAGCTGAGCAAGCCAGATGTGTGTATCGTGGGACTTTCGGCAGCTGGACTTCTCCAGTTTCCGAAGAGCAATCCACAGCATCTGTGTTTACCTCAAATCACTTGGTAGAGTCACTTGCCAAGGTCGCTAATAAACACTTACCAGCTTTTTTCCATATCTCTTCAGTGACATAGCCTGCTCCCGACCTGCTGCTGAACTCCCGCAAGGAATCTGTTGGAGGAAGGGATACATGGAAAGGTTGGTAAAGCCTCCTCTCACCTGCCAGCTTTCGGAGAAACAGCCACCCACCAGATGGGCCTACACAACGCTGCTGCATCCAGCATGTGGCACAGCGTAGGCTTAACCAGCTAACACCCAAAACTAAGGCCATTCCTCAAACATCTACATGATAAATGTCAACATTTAATTAGTGTCCTGCATAATTTATTACGGCGGGTAGCCCATTTTCATCTCCTGGTGCTTTGTAACAACACGCCATATTTATAAATACATGCCATCAAACATCTGCACTGTCCAGTGACTTTACACATCAATCTATACAGTAGCTTGCAAGAAATGCAGCACTTTCCATTCCCGAGGCAATCCAAAGACTTATACTGATGGACACACTGTACTGCAAGACCTCTTGCTGCTGGGGTGTACACGCTCCAAGCACCCATAAATCTACCAAGTGATGGAAACACAATAGGACCTCAACATAGAATACAGTTGCACAGGAAAGCTTTTTCAATCACCTAGTACTGTCCTTTTATCTCTAGACCTTTTTAAAATGTGAAAATAATTTTCTTTTGGCCAGGCCAAATGACACCAGCCAAACAACAACCGAGCCATGGCCAAGGGCAATGGGAGAGCAAAAAACCCTTCAGGAAGGTCTCGGGGTTCTGTAAGCATGTAACAGAGTGTGGTATACCTGACATACCCCACCTAGCAATAGCATTTGAAAAAGTAGCATTATGTTCCACAAGGGGAGAAAATATCATCCAAAATCCGAATTACTTAAACAAACAAACACACAAAGGTCATTTATAACATCTTGGGACTATAAGTATATTAGACAGACACATGCATCAGAAGCGTGTGATTATCGGGGCTTTAATTTATTAGCAGGCACACTGTGCCCCCTCCAAGAGCTCATTCTCATTCTCACTGTCTGAGAAGTATCAAAACTTGTTCTACTGCAGCTAAATTTGGCCTTTACCTTAAATGAATGGTTCTTTCTGACAGGCAGGAATATTTACTGTCTTTATTCAGCATACGCACAACAAGCTGATATACATCAAATTGAGATTTTTAGTTTGGCCATTTTCATTACTATTAGAAAACATTTTCTACCAGTAAATTGCTAGAATACTTTTTCATTACGGAATGATCAGGACTATTTTTAGCATTTGAATTGCAGCAGGCTGTATTGGATGGAAATTAGAATTAAATTCAAATGCAGAAAATTAGGATTTCAAACTTTTTTTTTGAAGTGAGTCAAGCATCCCTGCATACTGGAGGAGAAGAACATTCTCAATAAAGTTATATTGACTTAAAAAACAAAACCTAGTATTCATTATTCAACTTATAGGCAGTAGCTCTTATGCTCACTCCATTCTTCAGTATTTTTAGAATTAGTAGAACACACCATTTAATATCCTTTAGGCAGAATGGAAGGGGAAAAGGGGTAAAACCACCAATTATTTGTTGCTTTTTCACCTGCCCTGATGGTTTCTCATTTTTGAAGGAACTCATCCTCAACCTGAGTTCACTGACTCAGCCACCTGAGGATGATATTCCTTGGGCACCTGCAGAAGAAGCTGCTGCTGCCAAAAGTTGCCTTCACATTTCAGCAAACCCTGGTGCTTACCGAGGAGCTCAGTGATCCAGTTCAAACTTTGAAATCAGCTCTGCACTACTCGAGCACTTTGTTTATATTGTAGTTTGAATTCATGCATTCATTTCATATCTAGTATAGCTTTGTCATAACTGGACATCTGCTTCAAAGGGTTCGTTTTTCATGAAAAAAACCCCATCTATTACCCAGCCTGTGTACAAACCCTGACGACATCTCCTACTGCTTCCACTGCAACTGGTGGAAATGCGGAGCACCTGAAGCAAGCAGGGGGCAGCACAGGATGCTCCCACACGTACCATTGCTGATGGAGTCGGAGCTGCTGGGACTGTGCTGTCTGGAGATGAGCTCGCTCCCTGCCTTCCTCGTCTCGGCATTCTCACTGCAGCGCCTCTTCCAGTAGTTGAGCTCCTCACGGTCAGCCTCCTGACAGCGCCGCAGAACGGCCATGGAGCGCCTGGTCTTCTCCACCATCTCCATGATGCAGTTCAGTGCCTGTGGGGAAGGACACAGTCTCTGTCTTGGTAAGCTGCCTGTTCACACAGTTGTCTCCATAATTCCTCATAGGAGGAGACTGCCCCATTAAGACAAAACACCATTAAGACAAAACACCATACTGTTCCACAGCAGCAGTGCCTGTGCGTGGTGTTTTGGACAAAGTGGTGTTCAAGCAGATATTGCCATGCCACCCCTGTGACTGATGTTTGGATCCCAGCCCTCCATTCTCATGAAGGGGTGGAAAAGTACTCGCAGGAGAAGCAGAAAAGTTCCTGCACAATGGAACAACATAAGCTATGACAAAAGCCCCAACAAGGGTCGTCTGTGACACCCCTCCCTCCTATGGCTGTGGGACATCTTCTCAAGATGGCCACACACAGAAGCGACAGCGGTGGCATGCCTGTTCCTGGAACAAGAAGGTGAGTGTAACAGGAGCCTTTGCCTCTAATCTAGAGGAAACAGGCCAGGTACTAGCTCTCCATGGCCATGTCCCAACTCACAGTACTCTGCTGCTGGCTCTCTACTCCACACATACGTCTGGGAAACATCAGCTTTAGAGCACAAGCAAGCTTAGTGTCTCGCTTTCACAAGTGTAGGAGGCTTTCTGTCCTCCCCACCACCCACCTTCTCGCACCATTTTTCTTCTACAAGTCATCTGAAAGCCTGGATATGTTATCAGCAACAATGAAAATGCAAATTGGAGCAGGAAGAGCACAGGGTTGTTGTACCCCCAAGGAGCTTTCCATACCACTAGCCTTTCCTTACATGATCGAGATGCTTCCACTCATCAGCCCACTCTCTCTCAGTTAAGCGGTGGTCCACCAGCTCGTCCTGGTATCCTCCATTCAAACCTGTCACAAACCACAACCAGAACAGTGATTAGACAGACCAAGTTCTCTTAGTGCTGGAGAGGGAATACGTCCCTAAAGCACTAAACAGATCTGTAATTCTGACCAAGTATAGCCAAGGTTTGAAAACACATCTCAGGGGCCTGGCTCTCTAGGTTCATCTCCTAAGCTGGGGTTTTTGTGCTTATGTCACTAAAGAGCAGGACTGGAGGCTGCCCAACATCCCACACAGCTCTGGGAGAGTGGGAATACTTTTTGACAGGCAACCTGGGCCTGTGTGTGTTCTCAGAGGACGGTCACAGGTTTGGATCTGATCCACCTGGGGAGCCAGTTCCCTCATTAGAAATTCACAGCAACTCCAAATTTGTGCTTCAGGTTGCCACACTGGAAAGACAGGGTTCACCCCCGACGCACCTCCTGGCCTGTGCTGGGAGACGGAGAAGGAGGCAAGGAGAGGGAGTCAAGATGGGCTCTCTCAGGCCCCACACACCTCCCTGCTCGGTTACTCTGAAAAGTTAACATCTGCTTTCCAGGCCTTCGTTTCTCCTGCTGGACTGTCTACGCTCGACTCAAACAGCAGGTCCTTTCTCCTCGTCCTTGAGGGCTCCAGCCTGCACACACCAATGCTACCTCTTGTCCAGTCTTTCCGTGGCTAACCTCTGCCAAATGTCTTGTCTGAAATTTGCAGCAACTCTTGCCTTTCTGCCTAAAATTATCCAGCGTTGGGGGTGAGTGGACAAGCACAGGATGTCAACGCGACCCTGGGACGCACTAGCTCAACAACTGGATTTCAAAGAGCCTACAAATACATCTTTACAATCCTCCTTACTGAGACTGCTGTGGCGGTCACGAACATCCCGGTGCTCCAGCATCTTGCTGGGGTCTCGGTACAGATGGGAAGATGCAATGTCCTCCAGGGTGTAGTGCTGGAGGGGTGGTGGTGTGGGGTGGAACTGCCCTGCAGGGTTCATGAGGGGGATGCTCAGGGCAGGACTGTGCCTCGGGGCCGGGCTGATGGTGCACACTCTCTTGGCTGGCGGCTCTGCTGGGAGAGTCTCTCTCTCAAAGCTGCTTTCTTCTCTCCTGCAACTGAACCAGCAGACACGCGCACTGGTTAGCCCGGCGCAAGTGTACTCAGGAATGAAGAGATGTGGATTTAGGAACAGGAGAGCATGGGAGGTGGTGATCTTAGTAGGAGGGGAAAAAAAGCAGGAAGCTAAAACACACTTAGTCTGAGAACACATCCAAGCAATGACCCTGTCCCCTCAAAAGAAACAAACAAACAAACCAAACTCCAGATCCAAAATGCTCAAATGCTGATATGCATCTTTCTGAGCACAACCCAATTGAAATTTTTCAGTTTTTATAATTTTGAAGCATGAGCTACACAATTATGCAATGCCTTTTACCTGGAATAAAAGTAGTGCAAATTAAAATGAACCCCATTCTCCTTAGCTGTCACTCTGTGTCACCCTTCTGCCAAGGGAAGCAGCTGGTGCCATTTCTGGAGAAATGCTCAGCTTTCCAATTCAAGTGTTTCAGACCTTCTAAATAAACAAGTCACTCTGGGACGAGATTTGCCTGAAAGCCCTCGCAGGTGATCCAGGCCAAACCCACAGTACAAGAGAACTGGGAGGAGGTATTAGAGGCACAGGTAACCAGCACTATCTTTTAACAATGAGAATTGTTGTTAGGAGCCATAAGATCCTGTTATTTAGCATGGGACTTTGTTTAAGGCTTTCTTTCAATTTTCCTGCTGTCCAACGTGATGATTTTAGATCACAGAATGACCAAAGCTCTATTTACCTGTCCGGACTGTGCCTCTTCCCATTGCCGTTCACCTCGATGAGCAGCTCAGAGGAGTCCGCTGGCGACGTGGTGTTCATGTTGAGCAGGATGTGCTCGTGCTGTGCCAGGTACTGGGACGGAGTCTGCTTGGCAGCTCGGGCACAGTGCAGCAGCTCTCTCTGAAGCAGGGGGAGGTTGGCCTGGAAAACACATCACTGTAAGTTGCGAGCCTGGGCTAGGCAGGCTGCAGAGAGGCAATTCCACCCATTTGCAGGAGAACTTCTCCATTCCCACTCTGCGCAGTGCCTGGAGCCTGTGGGCTCCTCTCAGTGGTCACTGCTCTCAGGATCTCTGCACTGCTCAGCTTCACCCACGTTGTCTCGTGGACTGAAGTTGCGGCATATGAGAACAAAGTTTCTCGGGACATAGTCTGTACGCCAACGCTTCAAATATTCCCGATTTGAACATTGGAAAATAAGACTACAGGATGAGAAACTGAAGAATGGAGGTTAGTCAGTCTCATTCATCCCTAACATGCTAGTAGACCGCGATAATGTTAGCCTTCTGCAAGACAGTTACCCCTGGTGATCACTACAGTCTGGGCAGTCTGTCTTGGACTTCAACAGACTTGCCCTGCTGCTTGGACTAGAGCTTGCCCATCAGGGACATGCTGCCAAACAGCAAACATGAACACACACAGCGTTAGTGAGAGCCATCTGCTCACTGCCACCTTCAGAAAGGGGATCACAAACGGCCGAAGGGGGAAGTTCGTCGCCTCCTGCAGCTTGCAGTGAAATTCCTCAATTGTCACCGTTGAGTTCTGAGAAAAGAAATTAAGACATGAAATGTCAGTTTGTTCTCATTTTAGACACTCGGTGAAGTGGCTCAAAAGGAACAGAAGCGCAAGGGAGACGGCACCTGCCGTCGCAGGACTCACAACGCACACAGCAGATCCTGTCTGGTTGAGCCAAAAGCCTGGGGCCACCCGAGCAGAAAGAGCCGACACAGGGAGCGTGCGGCTGGCGCTGGGTGCTGCCTATGCCAGGACCCACCAGGCTGGGCTGCCAGGCCCTGCTGGGAGGCAGCGTGCCCAGCCAGCTCCATGCAACTCCAGCCAGATGGCCGGAGAAGTGGCAAGGTGGCCACGAATCCAGCCGGCCGCTACAACTGTCCACAGATCCTGAACGCTCCCTCCAGGCCCAACGAGATGCCTGCGCTCAGACCCGCTCATCTCAGCTGCCCCATGAGCCCTTTCCTCTCCTTTCTCCTCCCATGCAGCTCATTTAGCCCAACTATCCACCATCCAACAAGTTGTTTCCTACCAGCTGGCTGCTCTCTGCCTTGGCATGATCTTGCCCTGGCCCTACCTTCTATCCCTCCTGGCTATGCAGGCTGTTCACGCTCTGGAATGAGCGGCACTTGCTCTGCCACGTACCCAGCACGTGGTCCTGCTGCAATAAACTCAATCAGCAATGAGAATGACAGCCTGAGGAACCCAAACAGCTTACAGTTTGTATACATGCAAGCATTAAATGTAATTTTGCAGCAAGACTCCATTTGTTGGTTTTGCAAGGGTATTTTTAGCTGAATTTTATCTGCTGTCTAAAGGTGCAAAAGAACACGTACTGTTGGCACATGTATGCCCTAGCATCATGCAAATCCCAAGGGGAGGAATGGGGAGGAAGGGCAGCAGATGCACCAAAAATGTTATTTACCAAGCCATAATTGCCGATGGTCACAAAATTCACATGGCTGGACAAAAGCTTGCACAATCTTTTTTTTGTGCAAGCAAATCTACAAACACTTAAAAGGATCAGAATATTGCAGATCCAGGCCTGCTGCTGCAGTAAGAGGCTTCCTGGCTTCTGCTGACCTTGGCCAGAGCTAGGTTTGCTTTGCTAGTGGGCCAGTGTTAAGGATGAAAACCCCTTCCCACACAAAACTGGCTGCACCAGTAAGTGCAGCCTTATGCCTTGTGATAAGGAGGGGGCAAAACCATCTAACCTGTAGCCCTCAGACCAAAGCTTAGCCCAAATCCTTCTATATTTCCTCAAGTGCAGCTGCATCTGGGCTCTTAGCGAAGCAATGCAAACAGAGAAGCAATCCATTCTCTACAATGCACTGAAGACAGGAGGAAAAGCCAGCAAGTCTACCCAAAAATGCAACATCCACACACACACAGCATTGCACACGCATGCTGCCCACCAGCACAGCACTGCTAGGCAGCTTTTGCAAGTGTGAGGTTCTGCAGGCCTCTTTGAGGCTCAGATGTGGCCCGCTGCCGGCCGCACTCACCACTAGCGCCAGAACAAGGGTCCGGACCTTCTCCCCAATCTCTGGAGAGATGTCATTGCCAAACTGCTGCAGGGTCGTGAGGAAGCGCTTCAGTTTGCTGAGCTGTCGGGCACCGCAGGTGGCCGGGAGCTGCTGGTTGGTGAGTGAGGAGGATGAGGATGAGGCAGGACCATTGCTGAAACGCTGGGGTGGAGATGGGGCCCCATTCAGCGTTGGGGGGGAATGGTTGATCCCGTTGGGCACTGCAAATCAGAGAGGAGCCAAAGGCATTACAGGGCACTCTGCTAGGGGGCCATGTCCTCGTCACGTGTTTTTTAACAATATTTTGTTCTTACTAAGTCTTAGGAGAGAATGCATCATGCAGATGTCTGGTATGGTGTGAGATTCCACCCAGGATCCCTGCCCTCACTGCTGGAGCTTGCAGGCACGAGCTCCGCAAGAGTGTCCCGGGTGGCACATTCCGCTGCGGTGCCCAGGCTGCACGAGCACCTGGAGCACTTGCAGCAAGCTGGTTTTGCAAGTGCTGCTAGTGGCCTGGTCCCAACTGCAACGTTACCTCCTTTCAGCACAAAGTATGTTGAAAACAGCTACGTTTTAGAAGTTTGGGAACTCCACAAGGGGTTTGAATAAATTGTTGACACTGCCATGCTATGGTTGTGCAGTCCACAGACTGGGAAGCCCTTAAAGGCAACTGTGTACTTGAAGTCTCAACTTGACATAAAACCTAATATTTTTAGAAGTAAAAAGTACAGGAACATAAATAGAGCTGATCCACTGTTTCATCCTTAGGAGTCCAACCTGATGCCCTAGTGATGCAAGTGCTGAAGAAAAGCTTGCAAGTGGCATGAGGCTATAAAAGTGTTGGGAGCATCAGTGCTTGGAGGAGAGGCACCAGAGTGGGTGGTACTGAAAACCACCGACACATGAAATGGGCAGGGGAGACGCGTGGAGCTCCGCACAGAGGTGCCACGGCACCAGCTGCAGCAGGGATCCTACAAAATCCTCGGATTTTGCAAAGAGTGGCCCCAGGGAGAGCTTTTCAGAGAAACCAGCAGGAAGAACTTGAACAGTTAAACCGCACCGGGGCTCTCCGAGGCCTGAGGTTACATGGGCTCACACACCTGGACCCGCCGTGGTGCACACGGGAAGAAACCGGCACGTTACCCCAAGTCAGTTACAGATCCCAGGAAAAGATAATTGTAAACAGATCATCAAAGTCGCTCATGCTAACCAGGAGGGGACCAGTTTTTCTGGGCCGCAACCAGGATGCAGCCCTTTGTAAGCAGAGAGATGAAGAGATGAAGGGGAACTCTTGTTTTAAATGGTGCAAGCGGAGGAGCACGGTGCAATTTTATGACAGAGCAGGGCAACTTGGACAGCAAGTCTTGTCCACAACACCTTCTCCAGCCCGGTGGAGACGCAGAGATGCGCTGCAGGTATGAAGGGCAGGACAAACTGTATGTGATGTCCTCACCACTACTGCACTAAAGCAAACACCAAACTAAGTTGAAAGTCAAGGATTCTGGTGATGACTCATAACCAGCTCTTATTTCATGACAAAAATGGTGAAAGCCAAGAGAAAGTCTTTTAAAGAGGCTCAGATAACGGAGGTCTCTGCATTCTGAAAGCCTCAATGAAGGCACCTTACCCCACCTGCACGTTACTTTACCGCAGAGTGACTTGGAGCCACCTGCAAAGTCTCACAGGGACATGCATTGCCAGGTGAACACAGTGGGCTGAAGCAGGACGATTGAAACCTAAGAGGCAAAAATAAACTTTGCCACAGGTTGCCCTTTACATTTCTCTTGCAAAGAGGTAATTAAGCAAACTGGAATCAGGAGTTCAAGCTACTTGGGGTTTAATAGTGTGTCAAACATCCTTTCTGTACAAATTAATTTCTGTCACTTTGCTAATGGCCTTTTCTGTCTCAGCAAAAGGAGAGCTATTTAAAAGTCTTCACTGCATACAGACGGGGACAATGTGTCTGGTGGGATAACCCAGTGATTTGTGCTATTGCCAGCACTGCTTGTTACATTACTGAATGTATCTCCTGAAAGAGAGCGGACTGAAAAAAATGTATGAAACTCCCTGCCAATGTTGCACTGTGAGGTATCAGGGATCTCACGAGGTTTTTAGGTAATACTGGCATAGTTAGAGACACAGTAAGCTTGGGGGAAAAAAAGTGAGGAGAAACTAAAAAATATATATACACGCCTTCTTAGAATATAACAGTATATATATTATATATTTAACAGATCATTCCATATCTAACTATTAAGTAAAACAGGTCAGCTTTGATCCTGAAAATATGCTTTGAAAATATGTTGGCTAAAAGAGAAAAAAGAGCCTGCATTCCTTCTAGGCTTTGGGAAAGAGGTTGTAGCCATGGAAAGTCCCCACCCATGGAAGTCACCTCTCAGGAACATCCTAAAAGAACAAGCGAGTGGCTCAGGAGTGAAGGCGACTTGTAGCTAGGCAAGGATGAACTGTAGCTGCATGGAAAGGATTAAGAGGAAGGATGTAGCAAAAATGGATAAAATCTGGATGGAGAGCAAGGAATGGACAGCAGGGAATACTGGATGGAAAAGCAGAAAAGAAGAAATATGCTCATCTTGATTTCAGAAGTGCTGTCTACAACGTGAGCTGCAGCGGCATAGGGAGGAATTCTCCAAAGAATCTGGGGAAAAGCCCAGCCCTTGGCTGAGCTGATGGCAGACCGCAATGCCTTAAGGGATTCCTCGTGGAAATCCACACAGCACCTGCAAGGAGAGGGCCTGGGGGCACTCCCAACAGCCCGGCTGTAGCAGGGAATGGCTGTCAAGAAGGTTACAGACCTTTTCAGATGTCCCAAATAGGCGGCCAAAAGCAGGAACCCTGAAGTTCTCACTTGCTTGTTTCTCTATGGGCTCAATTATGGGTGTCACGCTGCCTGCGGGCACAGGCAAGCGGCCGAAACATGGATTTGTGAGCCTCAGAGAACCCCACGGAAAAGCACTGTCCCCCATCAATGGCCTTACGTGCTGCTGGAGTGAAGGAGACAGGCCGGGGGCCACTGGGGTTCACGGGGGGCAGCGGCGGCATGCTGGGTGGCGAGGACCTTGACTGGATCTTCACTTCCACCAGCGAGCCGGGCATCACTGGCACCCTCTTATCACTGGCAACTGCAGCAGGAGAAGGAGGAGGAAATGTTAGCAACGAGAGGCACCGCCCGGCCCATCCCATAGGCACACAGCAGGCATCCCCAGACCCTGGCGGAGCAGTTTGGGCCAGAGATGCTCACTGGCCTGTTATCTTGAGCAGACCACGTCACCCCAAGACCTTCCCTCAAGGCTTTTTTTGACCATTTGCTTTTGCACAAGCCTCGTTTTTTTAAGAGAGTGGCACAGAAGTTGCCTCCCTGCAACTCCCGACGGCAAAGATGCCCCTGAGCCCGCAGCACTCGGTGTTGGTGCCCGTGGCCACTCAGTTTGGCAAGGCACAAGCAGCTGGTTTTGCAGCAGGCACCGCAGGAGAGCTGCCTCATTTATTTTCCTTATGGCAAGTCATCAGCAAAGCCAGTAAGGTAACAATTGAATGTCATATTCCTCATTTTTTATTGTTTTTCTCTTGCTTGCAGGATTACAGACACCCACTGCAGAAGAGGAGACAAATACATGAAAACCTACACGGCCCCATCAGCAAGAGACTCCATCCATCTCCGTGCTGCTGGCACTCCTGGACTTGGGTCTGCGACTGCAGTCACTATAAAATCTCAATCTCCAGCACGTTTCTATCTTCATTTATTTAAATCTCTTTTCAGAAGAACTTTCTAAGCTTTGCTTTCCCAAAGTGATGAGATAATTGAAGTCCTGGGAAATTTCTATTGATATTATAATATAATGTATTATTATAATATTACCATTAATATTATTGTATCAACATTGCAAGCCACTAGTCACATGCATTTGGGTCCATTTCCTCCCCTCGATCCCCATGGATGCTACATCCCCATGGATCCCCAGCCCCATGGAAATCGGTTTGCTCCAAACATACAAATAATTGCAAAACAGGGAGCAAAGCCGTGAGAACTAGGAGGTCTTTGCATGGAATCTGCAAGCAGAAGTGACATTTGCTCGGCTCCATTCTCTGCAAATTCTTTACCCACCTCTATGCCTGCCCGGCCGAGGAGACCTCCATGTCCAAGTCCTCCCTGCAGCCAACGGGTTTTGCCACTTTCCTCTCCAACCACACGCTTCAAACACCAGATATCACCATCTTCCTGCCTTCCTACAAAATCCTCTTCCACAGGTATACATGGATACCTAATATCACCGTGTTCTGGACAAATGAATTAACCCTGTAATGTTTCTCATCTTTCTTCCTAAAATACTCCTAGGATGCACAAAATGCAGTATCAAAGTGCTGACAAAGCAAGTGGAGCTCCTCTCCTTAACATACACAAGGAAAAAGAGGGAGAGGCACATACAACTCATTCCGCTAAAATAAAAATAGCTACTGCTCTGCTGCAGCATGAGACACCAAGAGCAGATCCCTGGAAAAGCCAACACCTTCTCTTCCAGGCTCGCTCTGGCAGACAGACAAGAAGTAAACAGGGTTGTTAAATTTAAAAGCTTCCTGTTAATGATCCAGGGCATCTATAAACGCAGATAAAAACCATCTTTTTGCAACTTCTGACTTTGAGCCTGACTACAAGAATTTAATGAGAATCCTTAATGAGCAAACTTGACCAAGCATGAGGACTTGGGTAAGCCTGGCATTGAGGGCGAGCTCCAAATGAGGTGGACATCTCTGGAGCAGCAGCTCCGTAAAACACCTGCGAGTTGTGCTACCTTAGCAGTCCATTCAAGTCCACAGAAGCCAAGTGCCACCTTGGCTTTTGGAAGCCAGAGACATTTATCTCAGCTGGAGCAGTACTGGGAGCTGGTGCTCCTTGCTGCAGCACCTCAGAAAAGGGCAACTCTACCCCAAAAGACAGACAAGCTGCTGCTGCATGTTATATACTCATGGGTACGGCTCTGGGAGCTCAGGTATATGAGAGACTGACTGCCCACATGGACCTGAAACACGACAGCTCTCTTCTTGCTCGAGTGTCATACCACAAGGTCCTGCTTTTATTTGATTCTCCATATTAGCTCTTGACGTGCTCGATTTCTTCTACTGCTCCAATTCTAGCCTTAGAGCAGCAAATTAAAAAGCAGCATCAATTAAGACTAAACACAGTCAATAATCCTCCCTTAATGGGAGAAAAGGAGAATAAAATATACCGAAGGACAACACAGCAAAACAAAATTCAGGACTAGGAGCAGTTGTCAGAGAGGATCCCCCTCCCGAGCATCCCAGTACAGGTAGAACTGTGTCTTAAGCCTTCCCTGCAGTTGCTCAATACAGACACGGGCATTTTAAACAGCTGCTTGAGACCAATTTCATTGTATTAATTTTCTTTAAAGAAGCCTTCTGACCATGGTGTCTAATAATAAAGGACTGTTGCTATGACAGGTAACCTCTGCAGAATGGCTAACATCTGATCTCATTGGAAACTGTATAAAGAAGTCTGCTTTACTCATTTCTACATGCTTAGGGGTTTAAAAATAGTTATACGGGGCTCCCAAGCTTAAGACTTTTTTCACTTATTTCTTACTGCACTAGAACTTAATGTATGAACTCCTTCAGCAATGGAGCAAGACATTAAATAATGAAGTAAAATGGGGCACGGTGGAAAGGAGGGGATGCTCCCTTCCCTGACAAAGCCTAAGAAGGATGCTGAAGACAGAGCTGGGAGGTAATCCAAGGTGGGGAGGGGCCCCGTCCATCCCTTCTCTGTTCAAAAGGTAGTTCAAACTGATAGCAGAATAATATCAGCAGGGCAGTGTCACAGAAACCAGCAAGTCCCAGGACTGCGACTGCATGTGGTTAGTGCTGTAGAACAACGTGCCTGCAGAAGCATCTGGAGCACAAAGGAGTGGGCTCCAAAACTCTGCTGGCAGCTCAAGAGAGCCCACTGTTCCTCCACCTCTGTGTGACACAAATTTAACCCTGTGGCCAGCTGGAGAAAGCTACTTCAGAAGAACAGCTGGGACATGGTCAGCACTATCTTCAAGACTTTTCTTGCAGGTATAGGAGCATCACTGATTCACTGTGGCAAGAATTAATGAAAAGAAAGTGCTTTCCTCAACCGGAATCAAAGTGGTACATATTCATCACAAAAGCTGCGCAGTATCTGAACTGCTTTTTCCCCAAACCAGCCTGCTGGATTCAAGCACTCTGGCTTATCAAACACGACACAGCAGAACTTAACTGTCAGTTAGACCATACAAGCACTTGCTTTTCCTTTTTTCTCTCGCAGCTCGCAGCCTTGAAACGCAATGAAGTGCTGGCCGTGAAGCAGCTAGATTGCAAAAAGTCTGCAAACGAACATGTTGGTTTTAGCTCATGTTTTTTGACCACAAGGCCATATATTCAAAGGGTTTGCCCTGGGGTTCAGAGAGGCGGGAGCTAAGACATACAAGTTAATACTGAAACAATCGTCTTGGGCAGAACAGATGTTTTTGACTTCCACATGGAGAAGGCTGAATATGCTCCTACCCCCAGAAGGCACTTCCTTCTCCTGCAAAAAGATCAGAGCCTGCAGTTCAGACCAGTCTTTTTGGAGCAGCAGCTAGGGAAGCTGTCCCAAAGGCTGAACCCATGACGGGAGCCGGGCAAGGCGAGCACTCCGCTCACTCAGGCACTGGCATCAAGCGAGCTGCTTGGCTCACGCCACATCCAGCTGCGGCACCGATACCCCCAAAGGCTCTCCAGCAACTCCTGGGTTACTCACCAAATGGGGAGATGAGCTGCAGGCAGATGCGCTTCTCCTTTCACCAGCCCCTGTGCTCTAGATGGCCACTTGGGCTAGAAGCACAAGCTGACGACAGGAGGACAGTCCTACAAAGCAACGACTTGCAGCCCCGTTTTGCAAAATCACCATCCAAACAGATGAGCAAGAATCCTAGCCTTAAGAGAAAGCAATGTAAAACTTGTCCAAACAGCAAAAGAAACCATTTGGAGGAGGAACAGGAGGGCAAAGCATGGGCACTTTGGTGCCCTCTCCATGCCCAGAGTCCACAAGGGTTCTTGAAAGATAACGAGCTTGCTGTTACCCTGAAGCAAAGGCCAGGAAAATGGACACGAAACGCCCCTCGCACCCCAAACAAGCCTGTAATTAAAAGGACATGCTGCAACGGGCTGGCTTTCCCGGGCTCCCTGTTGATAACGCAAATGCAAACTCAAGGCAGCATCAGTGTAACCTGACCTGATAATGTAAATAGGGTGAAATGAAATATGGTCCGCCACCTCCCCAGCTTTGGCGAATGTTTATTTTGAATAACATGCTTATCTGTTCCAACTGCTCACCATCTGTTTTCAGTCTCCACTGAGCTAATATTTTGCACATTTAGGAACTGACAAAAGGGAAGAATTGCATTTAAATTTTATTAACATCTTTCCTCTGCTTGAGGCTGCCTTTCCTTCCCCTTGACAGCTCCAAGCCACTTGTAAAGCACCTTTGCAAAGTCCTTTAAGACATGCAGATGAGGGAGGTTATCTGCATGCAAACAACAGCATTATCATGCAGACTGCCAACAGTTGCTTTTTGCAGCTGCTCTGCTGCAAACTCTCCCCTGCTCTTTGCCTGGCTGCCTCCCCCAAGGTCCAACCGAAATCCATTTGTCTAAGGAGGGAAAAAAAAAAAAAGCCAGTGTTTTACCTTCTTGCAGCATCACTGCATGAGAAAAGGAGGAAAGAGAAAGGCTGAGATATGCATCAGAAGCAAGGCAGCCGATAAGGCAGCCCTGGCAAGAAAGGGATGACTCTGCTAACAGTCCGGGTCTGGGGGGCAGGGAGAGGGGAAGAGCAGGCGGGGGGGGGGGGGGGGTGTGTGTGTATTTCTAGGCAAATAAGGATGATTATTTGCACTGAGAGGAGTTTCCAGACCTCTCTCTTCACCCAAGACAATAAACAGGAGTTTACTGACAGCCAAGAAATGGGAAGATCCAAAGACACACACCAGGTCAGCGGCACGCGTTGGCCAGCAAAAGCTCCACTCCCTGCTGGTTCTCCATCCCCGCTCCCCGATATGAGGGCTTGTATAAGATGACACTATAGCATCTGTTGCAGTG